GTGAATCGGAAGGTTTACAGAACAAACCTACAAAGGGTATTGCACTCTCGCAGTGAAGGCATACGATTTACGGTGCAAATTGGCAAAGATGAATGAACTAGGTAAAGTAGAAAACATTGCTGAAAAGTAGAATTAAAAGAACAATTCGATTGTTGTTAGGGTTGTTGTCAGGGTGTTTAGAATCGAATCAGCCATAGCCTTTATAAAGAGGTTGGTTTTGCATCCACAAGGCCTTCTTCGCGTCTTATTAAGGTTAGAAATTTCTTGGGCTCATACAAAGAAACATATGAATTATCTTAATTGAACTCAGAGGCCACCAGTTGGACCTGCTAAGTAACTGCGGTCGGACCGCCCCTATGCCACCGGTCCGACCAGCCTCATGCCGCTAGTCAGACCCCCATATAAAAGGCTCGGGTAATATAAATTTGGCCATATTTCAAATGTGGCCAAACTTATATTTTATCCCTGCTACCAAATTTGGATGTCAACACTGGTATTTTACCGATTAGACACAACTGGCAAAAAGGTCGTTGGCTTCCACGCAAGTAAAATAGCCTAACTCATTAGCGCATGATTAATTAAATATTAATTTAAAAAACATAAAATTAGATTAAAATGATTTTTTAAAATAACTTTCCTATAAAAGGTTTTTGGATAAACACACAACTTAATAGTTTGTAAAATTTATGTGCGGAAAAAGAGAGATTAGAAACCTGCAGTTCTGAACACACCCTAACTACACTCACTCTATCATAAAATATACGGCGCAACCATTTTTTCTCCATATCTCATAATATATTTAGTGCATGCATACATACATGAAATATGACCTCTTCTTCTGTAAATTCGTTTTTATTTTAAATGCTCTACTATCAAACCCTGCAATCACATTATTTACCTGCATCGAGAATATTCAATCGAGGTGGTGATAATTTTTTTCTTAGTATTTGCATTAGTGATGGTAGTGCCTAAAATGGAGGGTGTATTTATTATGCTCTGATGACTAGCACACATACGAACACTGCAACCTTGCTTCTTGATTTGTTAGAGCTTGCTGCGGCTGTGTTGCAGCTAGGGCTGTCAAAGAAAAAAAAAACATGAGACTCATGGGCTACTCTAGCTTGACTTGTCCTAAACTCAATTCGAGCTTAGCTTGAGCTTCAGATTAGCCGAGCCCAAGCCTCTTGCAAAGCTCATGAGCTTTGTCTAGCCAAGTTTGAGCTTCTAATGCCTAACAATATATGATTTCTGTTGTTATTTAATAAATTAAGGAATCAAATTTATTATTTGTATGCATCCCATACAACAAATTACTTTGTATTAGCATCATATATTTATTTTATTTTTTCCTCTTAAATTAATATGATAAATTAGAAATTATTTTTTTTAAAAGATTATTCTTAAAATATATATTTTTCTACTTACAAATCAAGCTCGATAGTCAAGATCGAACTGAGTCTATCTGAAAACTCGAAAGTTTTAAAGGCTTGGCTCAAGCTTGTACCGAGTTTGAGCCTATGCAAGCCAAGCTCGCTCCTAGGCTCCTAGCTGCAGCCGCGGCATTACAGTAACTGGCCTCTTTGATGCTGTGGCTACTGCAGAACTGGAAAGCACTACCGAACGTCCCCTGGCTACATGATGTGCTTAGGTGCTGTTTCTTTCAGCTTATGATTATTATAATCTAGATTATTGGGAGTAAGCTGAAAGAAACAGACAACTTATTAAAATAGTTTATTATAATCTAGAGCCCAGCTTATTATAATCTGATAAGCTCATTTAGATGAGCTTTTTCCAGATTATTGGATGAAAAATTACCCACCATGCCACCCCACTCTCTCTTTAGACTTGCAAACCAAATAATCTAGACTGTAATAATCTATGAAAGAAACAACTAACCGCTTATTCTACTACAGATTATAACAATCTAGTTTATAGTAATCTAACTCAATAATCTAGATTATAATAATCTCAAGCCGAAAGAAACAGACCATAGCTCTTCTATTGACTCCTTTTTTAAGGAAAAGGAATGCAGACATTTTGCCTATTTAAGTACCTCGAGTCACTCGAGCAAGGAATTAATTCTACTGAATTGCCATGTTATATATGTTCAGATTGTGACTCTTGAACGTACGGCAGCTGGGGTGATACTAATAACATACCCGCCAGCAGGATTGAAATGAATATAATTATTTGCAATCATGTACAGAGAGCTTATGCAATTAATTTTCAGTCATTCGTTGGTAATAGGATACATTCTCTATGAAAAAAAAATGAATTGAATGTTCGGTTGCGTTATTCATTTCTCTAAACATGAAACTTTCAACGCATGCCTCCTTTTTTTTTTTTGAAGGAAATGCCTACTCTAATTATTAAATTAAATCAGCTTAACACCTTCCAAATTCTCTGGAAGAGGCATAGCAAACTCTTTTGCAGTCCACATCACTAAAAAATATTAAGAATATAAGCTAGTATATCTTGTACAATAGTAGTAGAGAAAAATCTCTTGATAGTATATATTTAATCGAACCAATACTCCTGCTTTGTTAAAGAGAAAAAATATACTACCCAATCCTCTCTTACTATAAAGTTATAACCCACTAACTCTTAAAGCTTAACATGTAAAGATGTCATATCATCATCCACTAACAACATGCCACATCAATATCCATTGACAATCATTACATTTAAATATCATGCAAACATGCTATATTATATATAATTTTATAATTTTTTAAATTTTAGAGCTTTATAATGCAAGCATGTTAAATCATCATCTCACATAATTCATAAAATATTTCAATATATATCTTCATTATTTTAATAATATCCTATATACCTATATAGTTCATCCTCAATTAGTTAATGATATTTCTCTCTTCTCTCATTAAGCCATATCATATCAACTATTTTTAATGCTTAAATAATTAATCTATGGTCCAAATTATCTATACCTTTTCTTCTTTCATTAAGCCATATCACCTCAATTGTTTTTAGCTCATAGATAATTAATTTATGGTTCAAACTGTCTCCCTACTTTTCTTCTCTAATAAAGTCATATCACCTTACTTTTACATTTGAATCGTTATTCTATATACTATTTAAATTTAAATTATCGTAAACCACTTTAACATATTCTTATGTTGTCTAGCTATTTTATACATTAGTTATTGTTATCGTACATTATTTTCACCTAGTAATTTTGAATTTCTCACCCTCTGATTCATCACGATTTTCTACTCTCCATCGGTCCATCCTACCGATGCGTCGGTATAGCTGCTCCACGCCTCCACCAGCTGCGTGCTCCACCACTGACCAGTGACCACAAGTCCACAACTGGGACGAGATACAAATCATATAACGGTGGGCCGTGGGCTGCTCCACCGTTGGATAAATAGTCTATTTTACCTCCCTTAACTCTTGCCCCTGAATAAATCGCATCTCTCACTAGCAATACCAGGTATAACATCTCTTCCATCTTCAAAAACCAAAGCAAATCGAGTCTCTCAACTGTATGGATAACTGTTTCATCGTACGTGGCGCTCATGATTGATAAAATAAATAAATACAACCCCACATGTCAGTCATCCTAATCTTCTTTTTCCTTTTTCCTCACCTCTCTCCCTGTTATATCTCTCCAACCTCCTGCGATGAACTGCCCGCTAGTCCGGCCGCTCCTTAAATAAATACAACCCCACATGTCAGTCATCCTAATCTTCTTTTTTCTTTTTCCTCACCTCTCTCCCCCTTCTATCTCTCCACCTCCTACGATGAATTGCCCACTTGTCCGACCGCTCCTTCCCTGACAGGCGCCAGCAACTCAGTCGTTCGGAGATCGGGGGGTGGCGGCGGCTGAACAATTGAGCTGCTAGCGCTCGCCAGGGAAGGAGCGATCAAACAAGTGGGCTGATCCTCCGGGAGCAGTGATGGGAGGGGCGGATCTAGTACCCCATTCTCCTCCCGCACGGATCCATGAGTGGCGACGACGGGAGGAGAGGATTCGGCACCCCATCCCGTCCTGCACGGATCCTGCCGCCTCTCCACCCCTCGCGCGAGGATCCACCACCAATTTTGAGCGACAGCGACGGCTTCTATATTCTAGGGTTAGAGTTTCGATCTTTGCAATTTTTTTTTTGCGATTTTCCTTTTTGCAGTCGGATGTCTTCAGTGTCCAGAAGAGAAAATTTGGTTGCTCTATCCGTATGCAAAAATCCGATTTTCGAAGACACCTGAGTGTAGACGAACCACCCACTCAACTGTGAAAATTGGTTTTGACCGCAAAAATAAATCTTTTCTATAGTATAGTGTGCCCTAAACCTAAAGCTAGCATTTGTTATGTGACTTTGGTAAGCTTGATCAGTGCTTATGGAGCCCTAGGCCGTTTGCCTTAAGGCCAACATTTGAGAATCTCACCAAATTTGTTAATTACATCGCGATGTTAATTAGCGTTTTTGCAATTTTGCTACTCCTTTGTTTCCAGTGGATATTGCCGCCTTTCCCCAACGTCGTCCAATGTCATTATAGTAAAGGTTAATGTTTGCAGTGTCATTATTGCAAATCTCCCAACGTCGACGCGGCGCGACAGGAGCGGCCACGCATGCCGCGTATCGCCGCCGGCGAGCGCCAACCGAGACGTACGTGCGGCACGGCCAGCCACCGTGCCGGCGGCAGTCGATCGATCAATGTGGCGGCCGGGCCGGCGCGCTGAAGCAGGCAGATGGTTTTAAATGGGCCTAGTGGCTACGTTGTGGGCCGGGCCGAAATCGGCAGCTACGGAGATTGTGGAATTTGTGCATATGCTCTGTTTTGTACCGTACCGTCTTCCTAACCAGGTTCGTACGTCGTCGTAAGGCACTCTTCGCGCCCACTAGGCACCACACGGCAAGGGTGGTAAGCGAACATCCTTTGATTTGAATCTGGTCTGGCAAATCAATCAGCTATCAATGCAAGGGCACATGACACATCTGCATGGCTTTTTTTTTTTTTGAAAAACAAAATAATACTGCATACTTATCATCAGCTACTTTTTTTAGATAATCAAATATAATATCCCGGCCTTTGCTCAAGAAGAGCTACAGCCAATTATTACAAAGTAGCACTCGAGATAAGAGTGTAGTTCAAATAAAATATAACACACTTAAATAGAAAAAGCCAAAATAAGGAGAACATATTTATTCCAGCCTATTTGTGAATCTCCATCCATAGTTGGCATAAAGTTGCATAACCATTGTCTCCAACTTGCGACATGCAACTTTCAGAAACTCTCCATCTTCATCACGCCTTTGTAATTGTGCCCAAAACCGGAGCCAATGAGTTGCCCTGAAAATTACCTGCATATAGGAAATAGATAGCGATTTGTCAAAAACCATATCATTTCTACTCAACCATAGAGTCCAACAAATGGCCGAAGCTCCGACAAGTATTAGTTTACTCTTTTTCATGTCAACCCCAAAAGCCACCTATCAAAAATATGAGATATACTACTTGGAAGGTTAAAACCAAAAGAAAACTGAACTGTTCTCCATATGAATTTTGCATAATGATAATTCATAAAGAGATGTTGAATAGACTCATTATTCATACAAAAGCAACACCTCAAGCTGCCGTTCCAATTCCGTCTCGCCAAATTGTCCTTAGTTAACAGAACCCCTTTAAGCAAGTGCCACATAAAGATCTTAATCTTAAGTGGCATCTTGAGCTTCCAAATACACTTATTTCTCTCAACATAGCCATTATTAATTAAAGCTAGCTACATTGATCTTACCGAGAACCTACCGTTCTGATGATAGTTCCATCTAAAACAATCAGAAGAAAGATTCAACTGGATATGCACAATAGAAGCGCACAACTCATGCCAATATACAAGATTCTGACCAACTAAAACTCTTCTGAAAGCAACATTAAGTGGAACAGAACCCATGACAGTGGCAATAGAAGAAGATCTCCTTCAGACAATAGCATATAAAGATGGATATTTATCCTTCAAGGCCAAGTTGCCTAGCCATTTATCTTCCCAAAATCTAATTTGTTCCTCATTATTAACAATCCAAGAACCCATATCTTAAAAAATACTCTTGACTTTCATGAGCCCTGACAAAAATGAGAATCACCTTGTTTCTTTTCAACTTGGGTTATAGACTTATTATAAAGATACTTCCTCTTCAATAAGTCTTGCCAAACCCCTTCCTCATTTATTAGCTTATACAACCATTTACTCAAAAAAAACATTTATTTTGTATTTCCAAATTATATATCCCAAGGCCCCCTGGTCCTTGGGTTGGCAAATAATATCCTATCTAGTAAATCTATATTTTTTCTTATGATCGTCCCCCTACCAAAAGAACCGTGATCTATAATAATCAATTTTTTGAAGAACCCCTTTTGGCATCTCAAAGAAAGATATCATAAACATAGCTAAACTCGAGAGAACAGAATTAATCAAAACCAATCTACCCCCAACAGATAGGTGCTTACCTTTCCAACAACTAAGTTTTTTGTCAATTCTTTCTTCAATAACTTTCCAATCTTTATTAGAAAGCTTCCTAAAATGCATTGGAATTCCTAGATACTTAACCGGAAAAGAGCCTAACTTACAACCAAAGATATTAGAATATTGATCATAACACTCCTTTGCCTGACCAAAACAAAATAATTCACTTTTGTGAAAATTTATTTTTAAGCCTGTTGCAACTTCTTTTTCGGAAGCCGATTTCTAAAGAACTCCAGGGTTAAGCATGCTTGGCCTGGAGCTATTTGGGATGGGTGACCGACCGGGAAATTCTTCCCGGGTGCGGACGAGTGAGGATAAAGTGTGCAAAAAAGACATGTGTTGGTCTGTGAGGGCAGTCTATGACCTATGAAAGCTATCAGATGTAAGCGGGCCCGGCCTGGGGGAAGGCGGGACGTTACACACCCATAATTCTATTAGTAGCAACCTTGGTAAAAATCTTAAAACTAACATTAAGTAAACATATAGGCCTATATTGTTGAATTTTCATAGCCTCTATGCACTTGGGAAAAAGAATAATGGTTCCGAAGTTCAAGGAAAATAAAGGTAAACACCCACTATGAAAATCTTTAAAAACCTCTAACAAGTCAAATTTAATAACATTCCAAAATACTTGATAAAACTCAGCAGCAAATTATCAGGGTTATAGATACCACATACCTAATAGTAGTTGACTAAATCTCGGCAGGACCCACCACATACCATGTCTTATACGATAACTGACTTCGGATATGGAGGGAGTTCCGGATAAGGAAAGACAACCAGAGTTCTACATGGAAACGAAAAGGACTACTAGAATTGTATCCATATTGGTTTCCCTAGTTCTACTTGGACAAGGGGGCACCTATGGGTATAAATACAAGGCCCCCTAGGAGGAGAGGGGAGACAATAAACATACACGGAACAATAGATCAATACACAAGATCAACATACGAGCCAACATACGCCAAGACAAGACGCCAGATATCGACTTCAGAGATAGGCACGGTTAGTCCCCTACGGTGTCTCCGTATACTGATAGGAGAGACATTGCGCTGTCTCTGATCTCGCTGGGCACGAACTCGAGGAGGAAGACTACCCTGTTGTCGACTACGAGTCAGAGCTTCAGACCGCCATGTCGACAACAGTTAGATAGGCTACCCCAAATATTGTACTGGTGTGATTATGGTGAATAAGAGCAACAACCGGCTTCGGCCAACAGGATGTAGGGTTATTACCTGACAATTCAGGGGCCCGAACCTGTATAAAAATCCTCGTCTCTGTCTCTTTTACCTCAATCTCGCATATATCCTAGTACCAACGATCCCCATACTATGCAAATACCGGAATCGCGACATCAAACGTCGACAATGGTGCGCCAGGTAGGGGATCTTTTGGTGCTTCAAGGTTTCGACGAGATGGGTTTAAGAGATGGATTCTCCGACAACATACTACTCGATAACTTCGGCTATGGAGGATCTAACTTGACCAGAGTATGTGCCCCGACAAGATCGGAACCATCGTTGTCAACAACTTGGTCTATCGAGATCATTCAAGCCTCAAGCTCCGTGGCGTACCAAAAGATGTCAGATCACATGATATCGAACGAGTACGCAGCAAGGTAATTGGAAGATTGGTTTTTTAAATTGATCTACTAATTCCGTAGATATATCCGGCATATATCTACACAGGTACGCAATGGTTTATATATAATTTATCGTACCTATTTTTCTGATTATACAATATTGTCAGATCAATAATTTATTATGTTTACCTAGATCATGTTTTTTATGCAATATCTATTGTGCAAGTGTCCCCGATGTTAAATCGACTACGGTTTAATGCTGGGGGCTCGCTCTATTTTCTTCCGTATAAATCATTCTTGTTTACGGTTTATATAATCCCTGATATTTAATCTGCTCGTTATATCCTGATAATACTAGAAGATCCATGCAGTTTTTTGAGTACATACTCGATATTCTCTGCTATATATCTTGCTTTCTAGAAAATATTTTTCAGGAACAATTGAGCACTCGAGTAGGTTGTGGTCGAGTACACCCCATTATCGAGAACGATCTCGACAAATGCAGAGTCGTCGCGCCCAACCTACCAACGAAGACCGACGACCTATCTCATAGCACCGGCCATGGCTGGACTACTCGAGAAAAGGTTGTGAATGGATAATTCCTCACGAACGTCGTCGGCTTGATCACCCGACATGATTGCGAACGGACATTCAGATATGCTATAATTTGGGTATGCTCATGCTGGCCACATGAGATGCACATGTAATAAACCAACTTTAGCGTCCCTATAGGTGATTAAGAGACTCCTACTCCTGGTTCTCAAACCATTAGAACATAGTGATCTCTCTCGCCTTACTTCTAGTGGTCGAGTTACGACTACTACCTGGTTCTCGACCAGCAGTGTAGCTATTCTCCCACTATCTCCACATTAAGTGGTCGAGAGTGGTCGAGTTACGACTACTACCTGGTTCTCGACCAGCGGTGTAGCGATTCTCCCACTATCTCTACTTCAAGTGGTCGAGTTACGACTACTACCTGGTCCTCGACCAGCGGTGTAGCGATTATCCCACTATTTCCACTTTAAGTGGTCGAGTTATGACTACTACTTGGTTCTCAACCAGGAGTGTAGTGATTCTCCTACTATTTCCACTTTAAGTGGTCGAGTTAAGACTACTACCTGGTCCTCGACCAGAGGTGTAGCGATTCTCCCACTTTTTCCACTTTAAGTGGTCGAGTTACGACTACTATCTAGTCCTCGACCAGTGGTGTAGCGATTCTCCCGCTACCTTTACTTCAAGTGGTCCAGTTGGTGCTACAACTGGTTTTCGACCAGCGGTGTAGTGATCCTCCCACTACCTCTACTCCAACAAAGTTGATATGAGGTACACAATATCGCTAAGTGTTTTACCCAGAGATCCCTTACCACGATGACACCTAGCGTTGAAACCTATCCTCATGTCCTTTTACGCCGTCTTGACAAGGCCTCCGAGGAACCTAAGGGAACTTCGGCTGGGGACGCCCAGAGCCGATAAGGCCTTGTCGGATCCTGAAGAGACAAAAGACCATGTAAGATCTGGTCGTGTAAGAGTTCTCGCCATGCGTATTAACCAAGCCGTGTAACTGGAAATTGGATTTTCCAACTTCACGGCTGGGGGCTAGGGTCAGTGCTTTTTCAACCAAGGCAGGTCAAGGGTCCAAGAGCCTTATCCTCCGAGAACGATTCTCTGACAACAATGCTGGGGGCTAGAGAGAGTGTACGACTCAACAAACTGACTGATCGAAGTCGGTAAAAGAGAAGACGCTCGTACACAAAACATTGGTCTGTAAATTTAATTCATTTTTAAATTTCCATACATATTATAACATGTCACCCTTTGAGCGTTCGCTCTGGGGCTATTTCTATCTAATATTCTTTTCTGAGTATTGATTTCAGGAAAATTCTATTCGACATTGTTAAAGACTTCATGTCTCTATGGTTCTACACCAAGATCGACTAAGGCGAGTACGACAAATGTTGACAAGGCTCCGTCGCAGACTCTGCGCCTTCTCGATCACTCGAGAACGGTTAGTGGATCTCGACAAGGAATATGGAATGAAGAGATGGTGTACCTGCCGAGATAAAATTTCTTGACTTCAATCCAAATTCTCGATTACAGCAAGACGGGAGACTTAGTCGTATGTTATGTACTTTCTTGGTTGACGTCGGAGATGGACTCAGACAAACCCTTTAGGTGCCCGCACGAGGCTGATAAAGGAAGTCTAACGTTATCTCTGAACTCACCGAGAACGGTCACGTGAGCTCGATAACAGTTACTCCAAGGTTTGCGGTTGAGAATATGAATTTGTTCATTTGCATTGAAGTCAGGGGCTACTGTTAGGGTTATGGATACCACATACCTAATAGTAGTTGACTGAATCTCCGCAGGACCCACCACATACCATGTCTTATACGGGAACTGACTTCGGATATGGAGGGAGTTCCGGATAAGGAAAGACAACCAGAGTTCTACATGGAAACGACAAGGACTACTAGGATTGTATCCATATTGGTTTCCCTAGTTCTACTTGGACAAGGGGGAACCTATGGGTATAAATACAAGATCCCCTAGGAGGAGAGGGGAGACAATCAACATACACGGAACAATAGATCAATACACAAGATCAACATACAAGCCAACATACGCCAAGACAAGACGTCGGATATCGAGTTTAGAGATAGGCACGGCTAGTCCCCTACGGTGTCTCCGGATACTGATAGGAGAGACATTGCGTTGTCTCTGATCTCGCCGGGCACGAACTCAAGGAGGAAGACTACCCTGTTGTCGACTACGAGTCAGAGCTTCAGACCGCCATGTCGACAACGGTTAGATAGGCGACCCCAAATATTGTACTGGTGTGTTTATGGTGAATAAGAGCAACAACCGGCTTCGGCCAACAGGATATAGGGTTATTACCTGACAATTCAGGGGCCCGAACCTGTATAAAAATCCTCGTCTCTGTCTCTTTTACCTCAATCTCGCATATATCCTTGTACCAACGATCCCCATACTATGCAAATACCGGAATCGCGACATCAAACGTCGACAGAAATCCATCAGGATCCGATGCTTTGTTGTGTTCCATTTGGAAAATGGCCTCCTTAATCTCCTGTTCAGTAACTCCTGAGTTAAAGCTTCATTCTCCAAAAGAGAAACTTGGGGAATATCAGCAATATTATCCTCATCAAACTTTAGATCAAAATCATTAGGAGGACCAAAAAGACCTTTATAATTAGTGGTAATATGCGCCTTTAAATTCGCATCACCATTTATTACTTGGTCACCATCATGCAATTGAAAAGTTCTCATTTTTCTATGTTTACCATTTGCAACTAAATGAAAATACTTTGTATTAGAATCACCTTCCAAAATATCTTTTGTTTTAGCCCTCTGATACCACTTTATTTCCTCTTCCCTTAAAATCGAAGATAACCTATTCCTATAAAACCATCTAATATCAATTTCCTCCTGAGTCAAAAGAAATGTTTCCGCCTTTTTATCAAGCAAGTCCAACCTATCTAAAATCTCCTTTCTTTTTTTTTGTGCAAACCACTTGTATGTTTAGCCCAACCCTTGAGATGTTGTCTAAATCGACGAATTTTCGCCTGCCAACGTTCCATAGGAGAATTTCCTTCATCAACACTAGAACAAACTTCCTTCACCATATCAACAAAACCATCACGTAAAAGCCAACCAAGTTCAAACTTAAAACTATGTTGGACATTATTAGAAGAAGATTTTGTATTTAGAAGCAAAGGAGTATGATCCGAAATATCTCTATTAAGAGCAACCACAGAAGATAGATGAAACTTGTGTTCCCACTCCGTCGACATTAAGACCCTATCAATTTTTTCATAAGTTGGATTTGCTAAATTATTAGCCCAAGTAAAATTCCTACCAGACATTTGTAACTCCCTGAGGCACAACCCATCAATAATAGCATTAAACAGAAAGGGCCATCTATCATCATAGTTGTCATTGGGCTACTAAGAATATTAAAATCACCGCCAATAAGCACTAGTAAAGACTAATGACTGCACAAATTAACTAATTCAGCAATAAATTGATCCTTGTACTCATTATGCGCAGGCCCATACACCAAAACTAAAGCCCACTTGAAATTATAAACCTTATTACATAAATGAAACTTAATATAAAAATCGCCCTCATCAATCAAACCAATGTCGGCATTAAGTAAATTAATACCCAAAAGAAGTCCACCAGACCTACATTAGGGGGTTTACAATGCCAAAACAAATCTTTACCAGCACAAAGATTGTTAAGAGCAGCCGGAGAAAACTCTTTCTTAACAGTCTCAGACAAAACAATAAAGTCCAATAGATGTTCTTTGGTTAAGTCGGAAATAAACTTATGTTTTTTTGGGTCCTTAAACCCATCACAATTCGAAAAGATTCCTTTCATTTAAAACTGATTTTTATTGTTCTTCTTCTTCTTTTTACCCGTCTTTCCAACTTTGTTGCTATTAGGAGAGGGTACCATAGAATCCAAAGTGGTATGAATATTAACATTATCACCACTAAAATCCATCACCTCGTTCATAATTTCGCTACATAAATGTTGTAGTAGAGTATTATCTTCCAACTGATCCTCTAATAACTCACTCTCAACATTTAAAGTAGAAACTTCATTAAAGGTAAGAAAATTTAAACTATACCTTTCCTTTTAACATATCTCCCTTTAGGCATTAAGAACATACTCCCTCCGTCCCATAATATAAGGGATTTTGAGTTTTTACTTGCATTGTTTGACCACTCATCTTATTCAAAAATTTTTTGGAATTATTATTATTATTTTTGACTTACTTTATTACCCAAAGTACTTTAAGCACAATTTTTCGTTTTTTATATTTGCACAAATTTTTTGAATAAGACGAGTGGTCAAACAATGCAAACAAAAAATCAAAATCCCTTATTTTATGGGACGGAGAGAGTACTTGTAAGGGCATCAGCACTGTATAATATCTACTTGTATAGGTGGCTTCATATGAACCCGGTCTTTAGCTAATAAAGCCTTAATACAATGTATGCATAGCAAAGGAGGCATTACGGTGGATCCGAACTAAATAAAAAAAATCCATACCACTTATCAAGTATCATTTCTCTTCTCTTCTCTTCCTCCTCATCCGATCCACTTGCCTTCTCTCGAAACAAAACAACGTGGATGCAGATAGCCGAGGTAGGAGGGGATAGAAAAGAAAACGGAAAAATAGGAGTGGGGAGTAATTATTTTACTCGAAACAAAACAACGCAGATGCAGACAGCTAAAGTAGGAGGGGACGGGAATAGGAGGGGATAGAAAAAGAAAACGAAAAAATAGGAGTGGAAGGTGGGAACGGAAGAGAACCAGAAAAAAAAAAGAGAAAAGGGGAGGTGGGAGCGAGATCCGAGGCGTGTTAATTATTGTTTAACGCGCAGCGATTGTATTAGCGCTACCGATTATTTTCAACACAAAACAAACATATTATTAAACTATATATACAATGTTAGATTTAATAAAAATAATTTCATATTTTAGTTGTTGTTAAATATTTTTATAAACTTGACTAAGTTTAATTAGAAAAAAGTCAAATAATTTATAATATGAAACGAAGTGTGTAGTATTTTGCCATTCTTTTTCTCCCTTTTCTCTCTTTTCCGCTGGCTGCAATCACTGCTCTTCCTCAACCAGGCCGAGGTGACGCGCAAAACCAGTGGCCTCGACACCGGTGAGCGCCACAAATAATAACGGGAAAATATATAGCGTATATCATATGTGTATGTGTAAATTTAAAAATACCGTGGAATAAAAAATATCCGATATTTGTTCATCTTATCTCTACTATTATAAAAATTGAAGATATTTTTGCCGGTATTTTAGTACGTCATCCGTATATGAATCAATTTTTAACCGTATTGGAAAATACAGTTTATTCGCTTTTAGAAATGTAGATCCGTATTTAAGTCGGGTTTTATGTTCATTTACTTTTGGAAATACAGAAGGAGTCGTATATGATATCTCCTATAAAAAAACTTGCATGCTAACTTGACATGATTTTTTAGAAAAAAATATATCCAAGCGAATTCTCGTAGTGAACAATAATATGACTAAAATAGCCTTCACCTGTTGTAATGTACGGGCAATTTTTCTAGTTCTAAGTAAAATTTTTATGAGATAGCACTGTATATATTTTCGTCGGTTGACATACACGCTGTGGCTGTGGCATCACATCTGGTTTTAATGGGCCTAGTGGCCGGGTACGTGCATCGTATGGGCCGGGCCGAAATTGGCAGCCACGAAGATAGTGGAATTTTGCGTCCTCCGTTTTGTACCGTACCGTTAGCCTAACCTGGTTTGTACGTCGTTTTAGGGCGCTCTTCACGTGTACTGGGCACCACGCGGTAAGGGTGGGCAGCAAACAATATATGATAAGATGAAATTTGGTCTTGATTGAGCGCTCAAGGGCACATGACACATGTGCGCTGCCTTTTTGCCTTAAAAAACAACAAGTTTACCATTAAATGGTTTAATTTCCTACGGCAACTTTCCATGAAAGAAATTTGTATATATTTGAGATATCAAAGTTCATTGGGTTATATTAATATGGAAGTAAATTTGGATACTTTGATCAAATTATTACAAAACTATAGATATATATTTAAGATGATATATCATAAAACTACAGATTTAACACTAAATTTCTCACAGAACTACAGATTTAAGGTGGAGTATCGTAAAACTACAGATTTAGTAATAAAAATATCATAAAACTACAGGTTTAGTGATAATTTAATCAGAAAACTTACACGTATATAACTCAAACATAATGCTAGTGCTAAGGATTTAAACTCTAAAATCTGTAGTTTTGTGATAACTTTATTATTAAATATGTAGTTTTGTGATACTCTACCTTAAATATATAGTTTTGGGATAAATTTAGCGCTAAATCTATCGTTTTTTAAATATTTAGTTTTGTGATAATTTTATCAAAGTATATATAGTTTTGTGAAATTTCTTAATATGGCCTAGTTGTCATGGAGCTTGCCGGCCTGTTCCGGTTGGCTGTGGTGCAGCCGCAACCCTAGCAGCCAAACATGCCGATATATTTAGGGCATCGCTAATGGGCGGGTGATCGTTGTGGGCCTATATATTTACGCACCTATACAAAGTTTGTATATGTAAACGTGTATAAAGTTTATATGCATGTATATATTTTTACGCACGTATACAAAGTTTGTATACCTGTATAGAAATTTTGTATATACATGTACAAATTTTGTATACGTGCGTATACAAAATTTGTATATGTGACGTATTTTCTAGTTTTATTATTTTTTAATATGTATGTATACAAAGTTTGTATATGTCATATATAAAATTTGTATACGACATATAACTTTTTATGCACTAAAAATATATTCATAAAAAATATTATATATATACATATATACAATATATACACATATATGTGTGTGTATATAGTATACACATACGTGTCACGCCCGGAAATTCCCGAATAGAATTCCAAGCAGAATGTGCATTAAACACCTGTTCAGGACCAGCCAGGGTACACAAACGACAAAGTTGATATACAGAACTACGTCTTACAAACATATAAAAATCCTACATAAATGAAGTGGAAAATAAAAGCGAGCTTATTCTAGAACTTAACGCTAACAGCGGAGCGACACCATTCCACAGGCATCCTTGACGGCACGGACGAAGCCTACTCCTCCGAGTAGCCACCATCCGATGCATACTCCAACTCTGGGGTGGGAGACAGCACAAGACTGGGTACTGTTGACGGTCGTTATAGATCAGTTTCGACCGTCAATATTACTAAAATAGAGGAGAACTAGTGATGTTTGCAATGCATATATATGTTAGAATAATAATATTCCACTATTATTAGGTATACTAACTTTTTACAGAGAATGACAATAAAGTGGAGGAGAATCCACATCAACTCAGATGATAAATCAATCGGACAATGTCGAGAACCAGACTTATGTATGAATGGGCCAAGAACTTAGAATTGACACGACGCACTAGGCCAAAATTCACAAGTCTACGGAGAGAAACACCAGAGGAGGCCACCAGCCAACTTGTGGGCTGGTTGGGCCAGCCCAGGGTTTGGTCGAACCAATGCCAGCGCCGATGGATGCAGGGTTTTGAGGGAACAGTGGAGATTCACTCCCTATGGCAGTTGGAGGGTATTACCGACCTTTCCAACCACCATAACCATCATTACCTGCCTATTTAAGGAGTTCACTCTCTTCACTTCAACACACACCTCAAGCAAGAGCTCTCTCATTTCTCTCAAGTTTAGTTTAGTAGTATCTAGCTGGTGAAATGGAAATAGAGTAGAAATCAGGAGTCGAGAAGTCTTCGGAAGAGTTTGGGTATGGCTATAGTATCTTTCTTTTCCTCTTTTGTAAGCTTTCTACTTTTATTAGAATACTCTTCTATATATATTTGTGGTATTGAAATACTTTCCGAGTATATGAGTACCTACTTTACATTATGTTCATGTTATACTGATTATACGGCTAGCTTATCTGGGAGATGCTTTGGTGCGGGTATAATGTTTGCATATGCAATTACTCTATGTCATGACGATGATATTAGAGTAGTATCTAGTAATTTAGACATGGTGTCTAGATTATGGGATATCATTATTTGGGGTTATATGCTGCGGATAAGAGGTGGGCCGCTGATGGTGACAGCTCAGTACGGGTATTCCTCCGCGCCGGTATATAATCCTAAGTTAATTCCCTGGGGAGGGTATTCCTCCGTATTTAGCCCCGGTTGTATGGTCATGACGGGCTATCGTAAGGAACTCGGCAATCAGGGGTGGCTTCTCGAAATGCCACGAGGAGGGGTGGCTTCTCGAAATGCCAGGAGGGCATCAGATAGAGGGTATTAGTTAGTATATCGGTTAACTAGAATGTATATATACTATGTAATATTAAAAGTATAGGAATTGATTTTCTTTCTCTTTTCTTTCCACTTAGCCTAGATAATATATTATGAGAATGAGTAGCTAATGCTTGTGTGTCACTCTACCCTTCAATTATCTTAACCCCTGCTTAGAATATGATTATCACAAGTAATATATAAATTATTAGTCAAGTTCTCTCTACATGATCTTCCCACGGGATAAAATAAATTCGATACCCTTGGAATACTCTCGGGTGAAATGCTACAATGGTATATCTGTGCGCTTGCGGATGAACTCTGTAACCATAATATACCAGAAGTATTTATGCGCCAGTACTGGGAATTATATTTCTACTATTGTCGTTAAGAAATACCAACAAGCATTTCTGGCATCGTTGTCGGGAAAGATTCATCATAGAGATTTCTGGCATCCCCCGGCAAGGGATGCGGAGGTCGCTCAAGCGCTGGCGGGTGAGAGGTGCAGGAGGACCTCCGTCGCCGGTCGCCGACTGCCGATCAATTCATCGTGGGCCACGCCACACGCCCTAAACGCCCCCGCCACTCCCGCCGCCGGCCTCGGGGTCCGCTCTCCCGACTGCGCCACACATAGAGAGAGAGAGGGTGTGTGGAAGGCCGCTCGCCGTAGTCACCGTCATGGGCCACGCCACGCGCCATCACCGCCCCCGCAACACCCGCCACCGACCTCGGGTCCACTCTCCTGACGGTACCAGAGAGAGAGAGAGTGGGGAAGAGCCGCTTGCCTGGCGTCCTGCCGCAGTTGCCGCTGCTTGCTATAGTCGCCATCGTGGGCTGCGCTGCGCGCCCTCACCGTTCCGCCACACGCGCCGCCGGCCTCTGCGTGCGCTCTCCCGATGGTGCCTAGAGAGAGAGAGAGATAGAGAGAAGGGGGAGAGCCACTCGCTAGGTGCCCTCGCCGCAGTTGCCGCCGCTCATTGTAGTCGCCATCGTGGGTCGCACCATGCGCCCTCACCTCCCCCGCCACGCTCGCCACCAGCCATTGCGTCGCTTCCGTAGGAAGAGAGATAGGAAGAGGAGCTCCCGACGGGAGAGAGAGAGGATGAGAGGGTTGTTGGTGGTTGTTATTGACAAATTTTATGCCGCCAATACCTGCATAAATCAAAGGGATAAAACATCCAACATAGTGATAGGGTTAAATTCTAACATATTCCGCAAGTTTTGGTGTATATTTGAATGCAGGTAATAAACCGCCAAAGTTGGATGAAATATAGACTTAAGTGAAGGAGAGTTCCTATCCATATAAAGAGTGGGCCAGAAACTACTAGAATACATCTTCAATGGTCCTTCCACTCACAGAAATGGATAAAGGAGGCAGAGGAGGAGCAACAGGCCAAAGTTGAAGCCTGTTGGGCCTGCCATGGGTTCGGCTGAACCCATGGTTCGGGTTCAGTCGAACCACCTCTGTAGCCGTATGATTTGGGGTTTTGCATGGACGGTCTGGATGAGCTCCTGAATGGCGGTTGGAGGGCAAAATTGACCTTTTGCGTTCTATAACCGTTACACCTGCCGCTATATAAAGACTTCACCTCTTCACTTCACTCACACACTCCAAGCTTGAGCTGAATTATAAGATGCTCTATAGTACTATATTGTATACTAGAATAGGAAGAGAGTAGAGTAGAAGAAGTGGAAGAAATTCCAGTTGTCGGTAATCCTATCCCTGTTTCTTTCTGCTCTGTTAATTACTCCGATTATAATAGAATTATCTTTTGAGTAATTTAGTTTTGCTCGGTGAGAATTATTTCTTGGTTAGTTCCTATTCAAAGTATGGGATCATCGTTTACTATAATCAACTAAAATATAGTGATTTGCTTTAGTGTGTAGCTAACATTAAAGTAAGAAATTAATATGCTTAGGCGCGGTGTCTAGGTAGATAATTTCCGGTGTTTGCTCCGCATCCCACAGTAGGTGTGAGGTGGTTGTAGAGGTGGTGACAACCCTCAAGACACTAAAGTCCTCCCTGTCTGGGTGCGCAGTAGAGCGATATCTAGGAGCAGCGAGCTGGCCAGTGCCCGAAGTACCTCATTAGGATTAAAGTTAAGCTTTCCATAGACACTGTTCTTCACCGGTGAAACCTCTCTATCTTTTGCCTATCTATAGCTTCATGTCCTTGGATGAATCTGAACCGGCGTTGACACACAAGTTCCCTGTGGAAATCGATACCTAAGAATACTCCCGGTTGAAGTGCTACATCGGTATTTTCCGTGCGCTTGCGGATTTTATCTGTAAGGTTAAGAAATACCAACAAGAGTATGACAGGTGGACCCACCACTTTTTAATAAGAAAATGCTGACTGGATTGCCATGCGTACGCCACATAGGACAAAACCGCTCTGGATTGGGTCGAGGGGGGTAATTCGTCTGGTATTAAAAGTTCAAGGTGAACAATGTCTGTTTTTGGGTTCACGGGGGTAATTTGATCGTAATTCGTACTTTTTCTTATATATATATATACATATATGTATCATGAGAGAGAGAGAGAGAGGAGAGAGACTAGAGGGGGCGGACTGACTGCGCGGGCGCGTGGGTAGTCGCCGGTCAGCCACCCCCCACATACACAAGCTCTGTGCCTCTGCCTCTCCATTTTATCGCATGGCGTTTTCCCTCCCTCCGCGAGATGACCTCCTTCCGCGCTGGGTGCCAGCCTCCGTCAACCTCCCGTGCCATCGGGTTCGGGTTCTCCTGTGCCGGCCTTCTTGCACGCAGGGCGCCGGCCTCCACCTACGTTTCCTCACCAGCAAGCTCTCCCATGCCTCCCTCCGCATGCCAACCTTCTTCCGTGCATGCCCCCATAGCCACTATCATCTGCCCGCGCGAAGCTAGGAGACATGACCGGAAAGAGACCGCATACTCATCTTGCTTGGCCACCGTCCGCAGCCACACCCCCCTACGTGTCACGAGGGACGCCTAGATCTGGATAAATGGCGCCGGAGGTGGATGCCGAGCTCGATGCGGGAGCACACCCACTGCGTGTCGCTCGATGGCTCAATTTCCTAGCGCCAGCGCCGAAGTTTTTGACCCTTCCCGTGCTGTTGTTTGCCTCTTTGTGCCGTCGCCGCCACTCCCTCTGTGCACCGCCGCCGCCGCTACTTCCGTGTTCAGCAGCCGCCCCTGCTCCCTCCGAGCGCTGCCGCATCCTCCACCCAGGCCACCGTCCGGTGCACCTTCCTCTATGCCTGCCTTGCGAGATGAATAGGCTCAGGGGTGGATGAGCAGAAATTTGGGGATAGGCGTTGTGTACTCCCAGACATTTTCGTAAGTTTGGCTTGTCAATACATTTTTTTTATTTTTTTTCTTTATGATATCGTATGGGTGTAACGAAAACTGGGTCAACACCAACCCTGATTTTGAAAAGTGGTGTCACATGAGTAAACTTAAAAGAGTGAGATCATAATCGTAGTTAGCCTTCAAAGCAGAGTTAAAAGAGCAATTGACGCAACATTGTTATATTTCTACCAATATTGAGTTGTTAATCGATTCATTTTCATCGTTACCATTCTGTTGTACTAGTAGCCCGATACATCTAGGTGATACTCCAAGCCTATAATGTTCCACTGACATTGTGGGGCCCAATGTCAGTGACTAGGGTGGTGGTGGTAGAACAATCACCATCTTTAGTACTCTTTCCGTTCCAAAATATAATAATATCTAGCATCTAAAATTTGTCCTAAAATATAATAACTTATACACCAACATTCTCTTCTTAACAAATCACAACCCTCTACTATTCAATTTTCCCACCTACCTCCAGTGACGAATCTTGGTTTTAGAATATGGGTGGTCCGACTCAAAAATTATTTCTAAACACCGCAAATCTAACGATGCTAATATATACTCCCTCCGTCCCAAAATAAGGAAAAAGTACGAATTACCCCCCCCGAACTATCGAGGTCGTCCGAATTACCCCCCTTGAACCACAAAACCGGACATTCTTCACCCCCCAACTATGCTAACCGGACAAATTAACCCCCTCGACCCAATCCGCGGTGGTTTTGGTCTACGTGGCGTACACGTGGCAGTCCAGTCAGCATTTTATTTATTAAAAAAATGTGGGACCCACCTGTCATAGTCTCTCATCTCTCTCCTCTCTCTGTCTCTCTCACTCATCCTCTCTCTCGCGCGTGAGGTGTTCGTCTTCCTGTTCGAGCTTTTGCTGGCGGCTGGCCAAGGCGAGATCGTCCTTGTCGGTGTCCGTGGCCTCGTCGACGATGTCGTGGGCTAGCGGCTCCTCCGTCATGGATTGGGCAAGATGCAGCACGGCGATGGCTTCTCCCTCTTGATCTACGGGGCCCGCTAGCGACCGGCAACAGTGACATTGTCTCAACCGTCGGGGGTGGAGGGAGGAGAGGGGTCGCCGACGAAGAGGGAGATCGTGATGGGGAGGAACATGCACACAGACGACGAGGAACATGTGTTCGCGGTGAAGCAGCTCGACGCGGACGATGAGGAGACCGGGGAGCAGACCGGGGAGCGCCGTCGGCGTCGGCTCCATCGAGCTCTACCGCCGCAACCTCATCGAGCGCCGTCGGTGTTGGCTCCTCGCCCGCCCGCCGCTTGCAGCCATCCCCGCCACTGGCCGCCCGTCGGCGTCGGCGTCTGCTCCTTGCTAGCCCGCCACCCGTTGGCGTCGGCTCCTCGCTCGCCCGCCGCCCGCAGCCATCCCCGCCGCCGGCCGCTGTCGGCGTCAGCAGTCGGCTCCTCACCCGCCCGCCGCCTGCCGTGTTCACCGAGGTGCTTTGCCTCCGCTGCCGGCCGCCCGCTCCGCCTCCACCTCAGCCGCTCGCCGCCGCCACCAGCGCCCGCCTCTGTCTCAGCCGCCCGTCGCCGCCGCCAGCGCCCTCTCCGCCTTCGCCTCCACCTCCGCATGCGCCGCCCCACCCCCTCTCCTGCCTCGCCGCCGCCTCTGGCCACTGCGCCGCCATGAGCACCGCCGTCCGCGCCGTTCGCGCCGACTGCCCGCCTGCCCACCTCTGCCCACTGTCCGTCCCGCGCCGCTGCCCGCTTTGCGCGCCGCCGCTCCCGCTTGACCCGCGCGCCCCTGCCGACCGCTCGTCCCGCACTGCCACCCGCCATGTGCACCGCCGCCCGCCGTGTGCACCGCCGCTGCCGGTTGCCTCCGCCACCAGCGAGAGAGAGGATGAGTGAGAGAGAGATGAGAGACTATGACAGGTGGGTCCCACATTTTTTAATAAATAAAATGCTGACTGGACTGCCATGTGTATGCCATGTAGACCAAAACCACCGCGGATTTGGATCGAGGGGGGTAATTCATCCGGTTTGTATAGTTGGGGGTGAAGAATGTCCGGTTTTATGGTTTAGGGGGGTAATTCGGACGACCTCGATAGTTCGGGGGGCTAATTCGTACTTTTTCCCCCAAAATATAACAACTTTTAGCCCTCAGGATTTGTCCCAAAATATAATAACTTCTTTACCAACATTCTCTTCCCAACCAATCACAACCCTCCACTATTCACTTTTCTCACATACCTCAACTACTCATCCATTCACAAGTCTCGACCACTCACTTCTACCTACTTTTTGTAATAACCGTGTCCAACCCTAAAACTTTTTGTATTTTGGGACAGAGGGAGTAGTACAATGTACAATACAAGTAGACATAATAGAATATACCCAAAAATATGTCGTGATATATTAATAACACATCTTAATACATAAAATT